AACGGTAAATTTGGCTGAGAATGCAGATAGGTCTACTTTGTTTGGCCATGGGGGTGTCATCGGCCTTGTTAAGTGGACACACTCTAGTTCTCATAAACCACGTTGGAAAACCATCTTTGTAGCTATTGCACACATGTATCAGTTCTTGCAACATCTCGGGAGGAAGTTGCTTGAGTTCTTGGGCGGACACGGCATCAAATCCTCTGGCTGAGGATGCTCGTAACTTTTTCACGGCTTTTTGCCAGGCTGACAAAGAATCATCAAAGGTAAAACTATGGGGAGGCTGTGGCATATTTTGTAGCAAGGAATGGAATTCAGGCCATGCATCATGCTCTGAAACTTCATGCTGTGATTGCCACATCGGGATCCAAAAGTTAGTAAGCTGATTTGCAACCTGGCATGGGTCCGTGATGTATTGTTTTTGGGTGACAGTGGCAACATTATTTTCAAGTGTGGGCATGTTATGAAATTGAACCGTAAAACTGTGGGAGCCCTGGGAAACGATCCAACCAGTAGCATCTAACACTTGAACTGGAGCAAGCATGGAAAAGGTCTGGGGGTCTTCACAGAAACACTCAATTTGATTATTCGTTGGATCAGTTGTAAGGATACACTCGGCCTCCCCTGGAACATACACTTCCGTGATAGGAAGGGCTGGTGCTCCCTTGACCTTGGCAAAAGCTTGAGCGGATCCATGATGCTTGCGGTCACATGCTCTAGCAAACTTGCATTTGTTGGAGAAAACTACATGGTCTTGGGCGACCTGTGCGTTGACGAGGTGTTGCACATATTGGTTGACCTCATACAGCCAGGCAGCTGTAGGCAAGGGCCATTGGGGAGGTCCAAACTCCGGGATACCAGTTACCCATTCATGAAAGGGAACCCCAAATGCAGTTGATTTTAAAACAGTGATCCACTCTTGTCTGGTCTCAGCAAGGTATTGATCAGTTGGAAAGTTGGTGATTTCAATCTTATGGATTCGTCTCCACAAAGATTGCAATCTTCGAAGTTGTTTAATTTGGCGTTTGGTAGCCATGCGGTTAACCTCAAAGATAGGGTCAAAATCACCATCTCTTCCCTTTTTTACAGCACTAAAAATGGGGGATTTGACTGGCATTCGAGGTTGGCATCTCCCTCGGTAGGCTTTGCGTAGGTGAGTCTGGCCATGGCCTGAATTTTGGGTGGCTTGGATGCTGGCATCCACGAGGGTTTCCAACTTATGTCCCCATTCTTGAAGGGTAGAAGCTTTGGGAAGTTCCGGGTTGGCTGCATACGCATGCTGCAAATCCTCTGTCTCAATGCCCAGACTAACCCAACTAAGGGGCATCTTAAGGGTTGTCTTATGGAGTTGGGGTTGCGGCAATTGTAAGCTGAACATGACCGGGCAATGTGTGGCAAACCATTCCGTTGACAAAACTCTTACATGGCCTACATACGGCAGGAGTTGTCTAGAAAGGATGGCATTGTCAGGTCTGGTGACTCCCTGGCACGTGGGCTGCATGTCACATCCATATTTTTGATGATGGATTTATATGAGGTCTTGACATCCTTTTTGCACATAAACTTCCCAAATGGGTAAGTCAGTGAGTTCCATGTTGAAGTCCCCACAAATTATGAACGGGAGTGGAATTGTCATCACCTGCGTAAGAGCCATGGAAAGTAGGTTGTTGAGGTATTCTTTGGCATTTGGATGGCTTTGGGGTATACTGTAGAGAGAAACAATTTGTATATGGGATTGTCCCCAAGTGGCAATGGCATGAACAAATCTTGTTGTGGATTTCCATTCATCAGGGAGTGGGTTACGGGAATGTCGCATTGGCACATCTGCTATTACGGCAGTACCACCCGCTCTTCCCCTGGTGCTGGCTGCACCATTTTGGCAAACACGTTGGGGGGGAACCGGGTTAGACCAACAAGTTTTGTATCCTGTTTTTGCTAAGTCTTTTTGACATTGGGCTTGTACCTCTTGCGTGGCTGAGGTTTCCGCCAGGCAGAGCACATTTATTTTTTCTTGGCATAACAGTTCATTCAAGGTGTCTCTTTTGTTAGCAAGGCTAGTTGGATTAGCAATTGCAACATTAATGAGGCATTGAGTCCTTTTTGGACCTGGATTTTCTGCTTCTCCTATTCGGATGGCGTGGCCCAAAGTGGGCGCTTTTTGATGGCAAACGTCTTTGGCAAGGCAGTGGCAAAAGGATGGCACCTCGCAAAACCTGGCACATCTGATTGCTAAGTGTTGCAAGAGGTGAGGCATGTACCTCTTCCCCACATACCGTCCCCTAAAAACTGATTTTGACAAACTTCGTGTCATTTGACCAAGGGCACACACAGTGCTCTGCAGGTTCGGAACTGGCACCTGACAAAATTGGTACGCAATGGCATGACTGTACATACAAATGCAATTGGTATTCCAATAACGGCAGGCATGTGCAATTCTAATTATTCGCTGGATTGTCGAGTTGAGTCAATCGTCCATGTCTTCATCCTCAAGGGATGGTGTCTTTCGCTTCGGATTCAGCAGTGCTTTCTTGAGATCCATGAAATTGCTTTCAAACTGCTTGGACTGCAATGCTAATGCATCTCCAAATGATTTGGCAAGTTCTTGTTTGACTCCATCCATGGTCTGATGCATTGTTTGCACCAGTTTCTTCTCTGTTTGGGCAAGCTCGTCATGAACCTGCTTGATCTGTCCTGTATGTTGCGTCTGCATTTGTTGCATTGCTTCGATCTTGTTCTCAAGGTCTTGAACTTTGGCTTCCTGCTGTGCAAATCGTTGTTCAATGGTGTCGATTGACAACTGGTAGCGGGCCAGTTTCAGAGGATACTGGTCTACAACAATGGTAGACAAGGATAAGGATTGATGTTTCCAAATGAACAGTGATTGAATGGCTAAGTCGTGTAAACCTTGGACAACGACTCAATGAATCACCGTTTTAGCCATGGCACGAAGTCCGCTCAAAAGGTCAGCCGCTATGGCTGGTGATTGAGATGAAATGTCACACACATGTCGCACAAATCTTTCTATACATGGATGGAAGCTACAGATCAGTTCCAAATTCACACTGACCATTTTTCTTTTTAGCTTCCATCAGGAGATTTTTCCATCCCGGATGTTATAGCCTTCTTCAAGTTCGAAGCAATCTCCTGTCGCTTTTTCTTCGCCGACGTAAAGGAGCTATCAAAAACAATACAACACGTTTCACGCTTCAACATCATCAACATTTTGTCAACAGCAAAAAGTTTGGTCAAATCATCTGCAATTTGCTGATCCGAGTCAATCCATTTCAAAGTGGAATTGGTATTTTCGCATCTTTCTCGAATTGACAACACTTCAAGAGACAATCTTTTCTCCTCTAACTGTAACCCTGAAGAGATAATCCGAGTCACCGAGTCGTACAGATTTTTGGCGTCACAGATCACAGCAGAGGGAATGGTGGCAATACATTCATCGGAAATAGAATGATGAATACCATTAACATCTTCAATTTCAAAGAGCAACTGCTTGACAAATTCCGCATCGTCGTGTGCATTGGAACAAGCTTGTACTTCAGCACATGTGGAGCTTCTAGAAATTCTTTTCAATTTTCGGGAATGCCATGAAAGGATCGAAAAAGGCGCATGTTTACCATCCATGATACTTTGATCAGTAAGAATGGTAAGAGATCCCCCTTGAGAAGTTCCATCATGTCTGTTGGCGTGGCTGGCATCCGTAAAGGTCACAACCATAGGATTTTTAACGCGAGTGGTAAATTTCAAACCTACCTCCGCCTGAGCCCTTTGAAGTCTACACAATTTGTTGGCTAAGAGTAAATCCTTGACCTTAGCATTCTGGTTATGTCCTTGTAGAATTGACGTAGTTGCTGACAACCAAGGCGCCGTTTGGTTGGCACGCCATGCTATGCCTCCCAAGAGACCTTTCATCGCTTTCTTTTCCTCTTCAGTAGCATCCAGCTCTTCTTGTGCTTTCCGTTCTCTGCTCATGTTGATTTCATTCAAACCATAGGCATAGCGCTCTTGAGTGACTTGAATTTCACCAGTTGCCGTTTGACGAAGTTCGGCCCCACAAAAAGTGATAGTTTCATGCATGGCTTCTTTCCAACTTCCAAAGGGAAACACTTGTTGAAGTTCAGTAATTTTCTTTTCAAACAAAACCCCATGACCAGAAACAACAATGTCATCAACATGGCAACCAATAACACCAACAAGTTGATCATTTTCATACAACCGCCAGATACATGGTTCAAGAATGGAACGTTTCCAACCAGCTTTTTCCAGTTCCTTGGTGATCTTTTCAAACCATCTTCTAGGAGCATTCAACAAACCATAAATGGCTTTACGGATTCGAAACAATTGTTGAGAGGTCATACCCAAAATGTCCTTCACATCATCAGGGGGTTCACCATAAATGTTTCTGTCATACTCCGTATCGTCTCCATTCAAAAACGCAGTTTTGATATCGCCGACTGCAAGTTTCCAACCCTTCAAACTGGTAATCGCAAACAAAAGGTTCCTACCTGTGGTGCCAAGAGTGGGTGAATCCCGTTGGACTTTGAGAAGATCAGGATCCTGGAAACCTTTGATAATCAGTCGCGCTTTAGGTTTTCTGCCTGTCACCTCACCTGTTTCGTCCGTTTCACGTTTCCAAGTCAAGATCCAACGCATGCCCAAAACCCTAGAGGGATCAATACCTTGTTTGTGAGCGATTTCAACCGCAGCGTGTTCCATATACGAGTTCACCTCCTTTTCCTTTGCCTGTCTCATTTGTTTTTGTTCCTCCTCATTCATATCCCTGATGTTCACTTCAGCGCTTCGCTTGGTTTTCGCGTTCACCATCCAACAACCTCCGTTTTCACGCTTATTAAAATGAACATCCCTAGGACCAACCATGAGAACAATTTCACAAACTTTCAAGTTTTTGGTGTACTCAGTTTTTAGTCTTTTGTCCCTCAGTCCTGGTGCTGGGCTGTGTGAGGCACTCGATCTCTTCTGCCCATGCTCACTCACTTGTTCGGATTCATGTGTTTCACGATCTCCGTGGTGGCGGATTCCAGATCCTGAAGACGACCCATGATCTGGTTCATGTTCTGCATCATCTGGAACATGACCTGGTCTCGATTCTCTTCCTTCTCCTTCATCTCCTTCATGTCCCCGATCATCTTCTCGCTCATATGGCTGACTGCATCCCAGTCTGCGTCTGGTTCTGTCCCGAACTCCTCCACGAATCGGTTCATATCGGCCAGCTTCTTGACCTCCTTGTCCGGGTCGGATGGTGCTGCTTTGCTGGTCGTCTTCTCGAGGCTCTCGGTTTTCATCTTGAGGTAATGGAGAAATGGCTTCCACATTGGATCTTCGGCTTTGAGATGCCCTGCGCACCATACGCAGTACCCTGGCTCCCGGTCCCAGATGCTCTTGAACATCTCGCCCTCGTACTTGCCTTTCTTGAGTTTCATCTCTTCCATCTGCTCGAGAGTGACCTTCTTGTAGTCGATCTTGTCTTCCACACGATGGGTCTGCACCATCTTGATACGGCTCGCCAAGTCGGTCATCGGGCTGGCTTGCAACACGATCGAGTTCTGGACTTTCAATTGATCTCTTGAGCTGGAATCTCACTCGACGCAAAGGACCCTCTGGGTTGTTTTCCGGTGTTCCTTCATGAATATCCATGTTGTCAGGGTTATGTAACCAAGCAAAATCATCATCACCGTCAACATCATCTTCAAGATTTTCACGTTCTTGAAACAAATCTTGGTACACATGTTTACCCCGCAAAAATTCCTCAGGAGAAAAAGGACCATTGATTTCTTGATCAATTTGGTTCAAGTCACGACTCACAGGTTGCAGTTGTTCGGGAGCACATCTTAAGAGAACAGTACCATGAGAAACCCAAATAATAGACCCAGGACTCTGTCTCTCTCCCTCAGTGGTTTTTTCAATGAACAACACTCGTGCAGGACCATGCCATTGACCACGGATTTTTCCATTCTTTCCTCTGCCTTTTCGGTAATAATACACCAACATACCAACATCAAACTCTTGCATCTTCCTACTTTTCATTTCCCCCGCCCTCAAAATTCTGCGAGCACTGTCAACTTGAATGAACATCTCACGTGCTTTGGACATCTTTTTGATGTTTTCATGAAAACTGGGGTTTTCCGAGGACATGTTGGGAAGATGTTGATAACAATTCAAGGTGGAAAAAATGCGATCAGAGTTTTGCCCAAAAGCCCACTGATTAGGACTATACCCTCGCACCGCATGCATCTCATTCTTTGCCGAAACACAAAGTGCCAGAAGTTCTTTGGGATCCACTCCAGGTCCTAGCTCATGCGCTAATTTAGTCATTTGTTCTTTCAAGGTGTGCAAATGTCTGGAGTGCTTACCCACTTGCCAATACGCTTCTCCAGCAATAGGAGCAACTTGAATCATTTGTTCTTCAAACCATTCAACCACACGTGATCCACGAAAAACTCCTTCAGTATCAACCCTGACCATCTTAGGTTTAGGCAAACACTTCAACCAATCTTTGCAAAATCGTTTGATAAACTCCTCAGTGTTCACGGAAGGTGGCATGCGGACGTCTTTTCGAACCACGCTCGCAACATGTAAGTCCGTGGCTTCATCAAGATAGCTCACACCAACAATGTGTGTCACAGTTCCATCCTCATTCGTGAATGGACTCTTCCACCAAAAAGTGTCGCAACTGATCACCTCCCACTTGTTCTTGGGAGTGTGTGGGGTTGCCGGAAGCACTGGTTTTCGTTGTGCTTGCTTTTTACAAATGTCACAACTGAACTTTCCTGCTGCCTCAATGAATTTGGGAAGTGCCTGAGCTTCGCTCAGCATTCTTTTCAAAACAGCATTTGATGGATGACCCAGATTTTTGTGGATGACCTTTAACCGAGCACTCTCCTCACCAGTCAAAACTCCCGGTTCCTCAGGGTTTTCCACCATTTGTTCTGGATTTGGCACGGCGACTTGTTCTCTATCTGGTGCATTTTCTATCGCCGGTTGATTTTCGCCCGGATTTTCCCCGGGTTCATTTGCATAGATTCCCAATTCACTGTGCTTACAAAACTGTTGAGTCTGATGCATTTTTCTGCATAGAGCTCGGAACTCATGCTGTCTGTTTAAGATGCAGGTAGCATACACTTTACAAAGTTCCTTAGGGTAGATAGCCGACATGGCTGTCACTTTCCCTTCTATACGGTCATGCATGGCAGCAGGATGATTGCACGTTCTGGCCAATTTCTGACGCAGCTCAGGCAAAGTCGCAAAAAAGCCCCATCCCTTTTGAAGCAACAAACCACTGTCAGGATGTTTCAAACCAAAACGACACCCGTCAACACGAAAACGACCACCCGTCATCTTGACCAACTGTTCAACAGGTTTCTCTTTCCAGGACAGGGCTGTCCACGGTTGTTCACCACTCAGCTCACCCTCCAACTCTTTGATCTGGATCTCAGCCAACTTCTTTAGATTCTTGAGCATCTTGCGACTGTGTTCACGTTTCTGGCCGAGCTCTGCACACTGCGCTGGGGTTCGCTGATTCAGGTTCTGAAACTGAGTCCATGGAAAACATGGTGGCGACAAATGAACATTTTTTGGTCTGGTTTTTCTGAGAACTTCAACAGCTTTCAAAAAACCGGCCCTAGTACTCAAGTCATAACCATTATGCAATCCCATTCTCATTCCTTTCCCCCCTTGTCTCTCAACTTCTTCGACTAATGGGGAGTCCCAAGGCGCACAAACCTCGATGAGATCATACTGTCTTCCAATGGCCATGTCAAAACCTGCCAAAACTTCCTGTATTTGAGTTTGATGAACATGTGACAGTTCCTCCTGTTGGCGTTTACTCAGCGACGAAAAACAATGGTCATTGACAACAGGCTCAACACACAAACAACATTCAACCGCTTCATCAGGGATGGAAACACTCTGTACATTGTCGGGTTGTAAACTTCCACTCTGGGTATTCCCGATTTCACCATTGCTTCCCAGGTGGAGCTGTCCCTACTCACTAGGCTGACCTTTTGACGGATCTGTACATTCTTGCCCTTCAGTACTCGATGTTAATGACTCATCTTCACCTTCATGATTCTCTGGTCGAAAGTTCAAAATTGGCAGCATGAGGTGATAGCTGGGTGCTCTTTCCAGTTGGATCTTTTTCCGATCTGGCAGCCATGCCGCTCCACTCTTGAAGTCTACTGTCATTTCCATTTGATACAGAAATTTTGATGACAACAGGAGGGGTGCGCTGCCATCCACCACATGCACATCAATGACATGTTCAGTTCCAAACAAGCCAACTGTCAGTTGAGCTAGCCCAATTGCTTCACTTACTGCACTGTTGCCGAACATGAAGGTCTTCTTGAGGGTGCGATCTACTTTGATCTCGGCTCTTGGATCAAAACCCAAAGCATCATAGACTTCGAACAGTTCCTGCAACGTGTCAACACCAATGATGCTCTCCGATGCGCCAGAGTCCACTATGCCATGAAACTGTGTGTCTCCTTTTGTGACTGCGTAAATGGGCTCATGAGTGCTGTTCGGAGTAAAAGTCACAAAAGCTGGAAGCACACTTTTCTCACATGCCAGAGCATAGTTCACGGTTCCAGTTTTGCTGCTGGTTGCACTCTTCTCAAACTTCTGCGGACAGTTTCGGGCTTTATGTCCATGTTTGCCACATCGCATGCAGTCTCCATCGAAGTATTGGCTTTCACTTTTGTTCCCCTTTCTCTCACCCCAGTCCTTTTGTCCACCTTTGGTCCGGACTGGATAGAACTCCCGGGAAACTCTTGTCTTTGCCAACATCTTTCGAGCTTCCTTGTACTGCATCTTCTTTCTTTGCCAACATCTTTCGACGCAATCCTTGCACTGCTTTCATCTTCTTTTTCTTGGCAGCATAGCAAGAGCAATGTCCTCAAGCTTTCTGTTCTTCTGGATTCATCATCATAGCATCCACGCAATGTCTCTTCCACCTTGTAGTCTTCATCATCTTCATCCATGGTGTGTCCTCTTCCACCTCGTAGATTCCTGGCAGAGATGGTTCATCTTGCACGACATATGACTTTCTGAGGCCCTTCCACTTCTTGCGTTCTTGATCTTTCAACGAAAGTCCACCACCTGACCACATCTTCTTGATGGCTCCCTCAATGTCCTCAATTCTGTATGTCTTCGCATGGGCCTTGATGACGGCAATGTCTGATGGCTCAAGCCGCATTCCCAGGTTCAGAAGATACCAACCATAGAACTCAGCTGGCATGCTTTTCTCAGCTGACAGTTCCTTCAACGCTGCTTCCACAGCCTTGGTGTAAATCCTGAAACGAGGATAGTATTCTGCAAATTCTTCTCCTTCTTTCCGGATCACATCCTGCTTCATGAGAAGGTCTTTCATTGCATCTCCCAGTAAGTCCACTTTGTCACGTCCTCGTTGTTCACCCAAGAACTTCAGCAAGTACTTGGCTCCATCTTCTTCCTTGAGCTTGGTACGATCAATGTCTTCAATCATTTCCCAACCTTTGTCATAGAGATTCTTTGCTAGTCGTGGTCCTAACAAGGTCAGTTCATCTGATCTGGTTGAGTCAATTTCCAAACTCACTCGTTGTTCATATCCTCGAAACTGTGTCCAGTCACCTCCCCATCTCGGTAGGCGAGGATTGGTCTCATCAGTTGTCGATGCACTCGTCATTGGTCCCTTCTCGAACTAGGCTCCGCTACCAGTGTCGATTGACAACTGGTAGCGGGCCAGTTTCAGAGGATACTGGTCTACAACAATGGTAGACAAGGATAAGGATTGATGTTTCCAAATGAACAGTGATTGAATGGCTAAGTCGTGTAAACCTTGGACAACGACTCAATGAATCACCGTTTTAGCCATGGCACGAAGTCCGCTCAAAAGGTCAGCCGCTATGGCTGGTGATTGAGATGAAATGTCACACACATGTCGCACAAATCTTTCTATACATGGATGGAAGCTACAGATCAGTTCCAAATTCACAAATGGGGCCTTGAGTTGCCGGAGCAGGTGTAGAGGAAGTCGATGCTGCATTGCGCTGAAGGTAATTCCACCATGGATCTTGGAAAGAATTGCCACCCGTGTGTGCAGCTGCTGGGGCTGTAGGAACTTTCACCGTGCTTCGTGGGCCAGCCAGGATAGGCTGGACCTGAGCTTGCTGCTTCTGTGGCATGTACCTGGGTAGTACAGGGTGGCCGTTGAAAGCCAACGGTCCATTTGGTGGGGCATCCCCTGTGACCACAAGCCAGCTTTTCGGCCCTGTGGCTCGCAAGGGTCGGAAGACCCAACCAACATGCTGTGCCCACTCTTCAAGCATGGCTGAGTTGCATCCATATGGCAAAGGCTCAAGCTTATAGACATGTTTGTTGGCAACATCAACTGGCGGCTTTTCATTTGGATGAATGGCCTTCCAAGCTTCAGTGAACATGTTGGCAGTAACTCGGACACCAAGGGAAGTTTTTCCCCTTACCAGGCCTGCAATGCCAGCAAGTTTGGCCGTGATCGTGGCTGCTTTAGGATGATCAGTGGAAGGTGCAAGCCAAACGATGCGAAAATCATCTGTCAACCTGCCTTCTTCATTTTTTGGAACTGCCCAGATCTTGTTGTGTCCCGTTAACTTGAGCAAATTCCTGAACTGATCTTCTTGAATGGCTGCATGAACCTGAACACTTGTGGCGTCTTTGTAGGTGGCCAATTGTTTACCTTTGCGGTAGGATCGTCCCCAGAGGCTTGTGATGGTGCCATGCATGCCATCATGTGCAAAGACTTCTTTGATAAACTGGTTGGTATGCTGAGTGGCAGCTTGCCATTCCTCTTCCGTCCAGTCTTGCTTCCAAAGGGTGAGCGAGCAAACTCGGCTGGAAGAGGCTTTGGTGGACACTTGATCCCACTTCTTCGGCGTGACAATTTTGGCTCCAAATTGGACAATGGTGACCTGGAGGAGCACCTGTTGTGTATCACTATTGAAACATGGGACAACGATTTGCTCATGTGGCAGGGTTGTTTCAATTGGCATGGGACCCAAAATCAGCATAGCTAATTCATCGGTGGAAAGCTGCTGATTCTCTCGCAACCAGGTGGTGGCTCCCTGGGGATTTGTCAGAAAGATCCCTGTCGTGTTGCATCTAAACTCCTGGAGCTGTACAGTTGGTTGTCCATCCTCTTTGAGCAAATAACTGCAATCAACCTTGAATTCCTGAGGCTCTGGAAATGGTGCCTGTTTCTTTCGGAGCTTGTTCTTGTGCACCAACGAAGCTTGCTGCATTTTGTTTGGAACTGGTGGCAATTGGACGGATGCTTCTTTCAGGATTTGCTGCAGCTGGCTGTCTCTTCGGTTGCTTGACGGTTGTTGCACGACTGGAATAAATCGTTTGACACCAATGTCATCAATGATTTTCTCCAAGTTGTCATTGATCCAGGAAAGTTCAATGTTGTTTTCCAACATCCAGCTGGCAATCGAGTTTCTGACTTGCTGCTTCAAATTTGTCTTGGTCGCTGAAGTGCCCGCTCCTCCACACATCTCAAAACCAAGATGAACAGTGATCGGCTTGTCTGCAGGCAAGGCAGTCCATTGGTGAAATGGTCCTGTGCAAAATTGCTTGCCTTATGAGCAATCTGACTTGTCTGTGATGTGTGACCGGTGCCAAGGTGAACATGAGCACTGAGGTGAGGATCTCCGCAGTGATGTGCGGGTCAATTTTGCCGGTCCACAAAGGTCTGGCCTTCCACTTGATGGTGATTGGAACTCCATCATTTGACATCATGGCATCAAGTAGGCATCTGGATGCTTGCACCGCCACGCAGGTTTGAAATTGGTTCGGTGGTGTGGATGCTCCTACCTCCGCTGCCCCAAATTCAACTGTGGTGTGTTCTCCATGCTTGACCGAAACATATCGTCCCAATGCCTGCAGTGACTGCTTGCGGATGCAATTGGCAAAAACATTTGCAACAATCTGTCTGGAAGGCAAATCACCTCCAATGGTACAAATCCATTTGTCCGTGTTGATGTCGTAGTGGTACACTTCAGTGCAGTTTTGGAATGCAGCGAGTGCAAGTGCCACGTCAATGTTGATTGTGCCATGCTGTATCATGTGATCAAGGATGAGTACATCTTGTGAGAACCGAATTGTCTTGGGAATGGATCCAAATTGGTCATACACTTGATCCATGTTGCAAATCTGCACACAGAACTCATGGAAATTCTCATTGGAGAAAGCATACACTGTGAGCCGTTGGTCTGCCAACACTACGACAAGATTGTGGTCATGTGTCATGAAGGCTTTGTCTTGGGCATGCAAGTGACACTCTCCATCAGCAATGTGTACCTGGCACGATGTTTGCCAAAGCAAGGGCAAGTCCTGTGGCACTACGTCTGCCGCAAACCAAAATGGCATGTGCCAATTCTGATGATGCATGACTGCTTTCAATGTGACGGCAAAATTTTGGGTCGGTGTCAACTCAGGTTCGGATGGGTCAGAATCAAGGACCGTGATTTGAGATGGCAGCTCTTTGGTGTGGTTGTATTGGAAATGACTTTCATCCATGTTGAGGTCATGAAATCCCTCAAGACTCCAAAATTTTCCTTCAGGGAGAAGTCCTTTGCCAAACTTTTGGATAAAATCATCCAGGTTTTCATGTTGGGTATCCGTGATGTCTTCATCATACACCATGTGCCTGAGGACATACCCCGCCTTGCCTCTGTTCAGGATGGCATCGGTCGTTTTCAGTCGGTGTGATTCCCATGTGTTGAAAACATCTTGCATGGAGATGGTTGGTCCATCTGGCATCAAATTCATGGCACCCACTAGAACCATCATAGCATGAATTGGGGTGATTTGGTTGCCCAATATTCGCCATGCATCTGGGAAATGGCGGGTTGCAAAGAATCTGGCTGTAACACCATGCATGGATCATTGCTATCTCGGCCGGATGCAAAAGTCTGGGTCCCTCTTGATCGTCCTGAATGAAATGTGCCAGGCATCCTTTTGAGCGAAGCATGTCAGCATTCAGTTTGTGTTGACTCCCATAGGCAGCCATGATCACTGGAAGTTTTTCGTCATGTTGATAGGTTCGTAGTTGCAAAGGTGTTTTGTCGGCAAGCTTCCTTTTCTTGGCAGGTGGAAGGAACTCATGACTTTGAACAATCTGCATCATGTCTTTGGAAATTCTGAGTTGTGAATCCATGTTGTCTGTTGGTGGAAAAATGGCTTTGAAAGATTTTGGCGTATGTTGTTTCACGGCTTCACTAGGTATCTGTACAAGATCCGGTCTTGGAGTAACCTGACTTTTTCTTTTGGTCCCCTTCTCTGATGCACCTGGCTGGACAGATTCATGTGTCCGCAAAGGCCGGTGATCTTCAATCTGGGGTCCGAAGGTGACAGCAGTGTCGGCATCATGAGTCTGGCAATGATGTTTGACCTTGTGTCCGTGGCATGGCATCGAAGTTCCTGTCAAGTGTTCTGGATCATGTGAATCATCATGCTGGTCATGAAAATGGTCCAATCTGATATCACGTTTGAATCCAGTGTTTGACAATGTAGGTTGCGGGGGTGAAATGTCAATTCTCGGTGGAATGATGTTCGATTTGTTGGGTGAAAAATCATCACAGTGACATACCAAAAAGATGTTATTGCTGCGGTTCACTTCTTGGCAGAGTGCCTGCTGCTCTGAATGTGATCTGATGTTCTCCTCGGATGCATCTCGGACGCAGTGGGTGTCAAATGTCGTGTGGATGGTCTTGGCTGGTGAATGCACAAAGGTGTTGAGCTGGTCATGACCTGCGCACTGTTCAATTGACGAATGCAATGGGTGAACAAGATGTGGACATGCTTCTGGTACATGCGGATGCACTGCAACTTTCCCACTTGGAAGTACATGCTGATACTTCGGATCTTGGTTCTGGGGCATCACACCTGCGGGACTACCTTCTTCCGGAACACTGAGACAATGACAAACTGAGGAACATGTGGGGTTGTGGGCAACTTTTGTTTGGCCGGATGCGTTTGGTGCAGTGGCTTGTGCATGGGAAGTGACGGCAGTGATGTTGGCATTCAGTCCTATCGCATCTGAGCTGAAAGGCTTCTCTGTGGTCGGATGCAACGGATGCAAAAATGGCTGCAGGTGGTTGTCCGGATCGAAAGAGGTATTTCTGTTGGCATTGTCCAATGAGCGGATGTCATTTGGGATCATCTTTTGTTCGGGTGATCTCTCGGCTTTCAGGTCTGTACATGTGTCTGACATCATGCCGGAAGGGTCATTCACGGGAGACTCTGGCTTTCCTACCGGCTGGAACGGATGCAGAAATGGCTGCGGTGTGGCGGTTGCATTGTTGTCTCTTGGGAGGCAACTGGTCGGATGCATAGGCTGCGAAATCTTCTGTACATTGTCGGATGTTACGGTTGAAAGGTACCTTAGTGCTTCAGGTGTGTTTTCGGACTTTTCATGTTGTTCACAAACACTTTGGGGAATCCAATCAACAGGAGGAATTTCAGAAACCTTCTGCAAAACAGCTAGCCATCTACTTCTTGCAACTGGACCAAAAATTCCAAAGTCATTGCTCCTACTCCACACAACCGCATAACCAATCATGGAAATGGTCTTCATGACAAGTGCACGATGTTCATGGGTGTTGAATCCTGTGACCTGTTCCAATCCAATGCATTGCGGCTGCAAAAACCTCGCTTGCAAGAGTGCCTCAGGAAAGCAGAGGCCTTCTGATGAATCCAACCCTTTTCCCCGTCCTGCATTCGACCAAGGCTGACAAGGTGGGCTAATGGTCGGGACATGCGGATGCCATTTGGCTGCGGCTGCAATCCAATTATTGGATAAGACACTTCCATGGATGACACAACCCTGGGACATGTGGGACAAGACATCAACTGGCAGGGACACGTACCCATTGATGACAGGGACATCATGGTTGGCAGCATATGTGGCACATGCGGTCAGGTCTGACTCAATTGCCACAATTTGGGCTTTGACTCCATGATATGCACTGAGGTGCTTCATGCCATAGGTCCATCCTCCAAAACCCCCTCCAAAGAAAGAAAGCATGTGCACACAATCTTCTCGGTTCGATTCAATTGGAATGACCGTGGCTTCATTGTCAATCTCATAGTCAAAACTTTCCCCAAAGTCGGAGGATCTTGCAGCAAGACACCAGAAAAACCCCCGATGTCGAGGCTTAATCCCTTTGGCATTCCAGAGCAAAGTGATTTCACTAAGTGGCATGCATTCATCCCATGTCAAAAAGTCTTTCGCAATTGATTCTCCAGAACATCCAGGAGGAACAAACTCAATGGCTTTCCAGACATCCGCATGAGAATGGGTTACCTCTCCTACCAACAAATTGGGTCTTCCTTGCAGTGTGTTGCGAAGATTGGCCCCTGATGATGATTGAATCTCTTTGTCAAAAAGCAGGTCATTCCAAAAAGGACATCCCATGGCACCAGCAAAGATAACGAAGCCCGATGTTAGCACACGCGAGTGTGTCAACCACACCAGCGAGAAGGTCTCGGGCCAAGTGGCCACCTGAATTAAGGCCATTTGGGATGATTTCCCTTATAAACCATGATTCCAGTGAGGTCGCAGTGAGGTCGTTAGAATTTACCCAGATATATATATATATATTATTATATATTAACTATAAGATACTATAAGCATATACCCATACTTCCCTCATATACTTATACTAAGTCCGCTAAGTTTGATATAGCTAAGTGAGCTATCTAGATACTATCTATAGCTAACTACTTAGTATATAACCTATCTAGTTATTAACCTATTAACCCACATGAGCCTTCAAGTACCACCGGGCTACCGTCGCACCGGGCCGCGACCTCACCTGGGACCCCCTACAGACACCCCATCGTGCCCCTTGCGCAGAACCATGAATCCTCGTTGCAAGCCGGTGGACCCGGAGTGACTTAAAATCGAGCGTAACAATTTCGAAATCGTTGATTTGGGTTGACACCCCAAAATTGCCGCAAATCATTGCATATTTTTGAAGATTAACCATGAAATTGAGGATACCCTATTTTCAGACGAAGCCATATATCCATGTGGAGCACCTCACCATGGCTGATATGGCTGTCTTTCTCAATATTTGAGCCATGAGAAAACCAGAGTAGGATACAGTAGGTGTTCCTCATATGGGTCATAGAGTAACATGTCACAACTATATAACTCTTATTTCCTATGGCGGTACAACCAATAGTTGGGTAATGTTGGGTATGTATTTTGATGTATTTTGAATGGCTCATGGGCTATGACTCCAAACAAGGCCCCAGTCTACTTGTGAGAAGCTCTGAGGCGGCCACCAGAGTCACCGAGGTTCGCTACTCCCAGCTTGTTTCCTGAGAAAGTCACCGTGGTGTTTGGTTCCTCGCCTTTTTGGACCCAAAAAGCTGCTTATGTTTAGACTGGAAGCAGACATCAGTCGCGAGGCTGGAAGCAGTTTCAGGCTTAAGAATTTCGACGCTCACCCAGTGGCAAACATGATCTCACCATGTACAAAACCCCTGGAAATTCATGAGGGAACGATCGTCTTTCATGGTATTTCCAGTGGAAGAAATCATCTTCCGGACATGGATTTTGGGCGCAAGTTGGGATTTTCAGCAAGGCACCTTGCTGGCATAGGACGGTAATGGTGGAGGCTCCGAATGCCTTAGGGCCACTTGGCATTGCGCCACAGGAAACCCAGCTGGTTTCGAGCTTCAGAATGGGGCCACCTTAAAGAACTGGAGGATTTCACACGTGTCAACCAGTGATGATTGTCAAATTGATTCCCTCGGAAAGGGTGCAACAACATGCAACAACCAACCACAAAAAGTTCACTATGTTCACTTAGATTGATCTACAGAAATACAGCTTAGCTACATCGTGTTTTTACTCCCTTATACTGTTGTGTAGGGGCGTGGACGGTTTTTTTGTTTAAGGGTTCTTTTTCAGTTTGGGTTTGTTTTCCTTCTAATTTGAAGCATTTTGGAACTAAGACCTCGTATTTCGTTTGAAACATGTTGGAGTTAAAATACCTTGTTTCCTTGGTATTTGCAGCACTCTTGTTTTGGACCTTAAAATCTCTTATGCCCTGAAAGTTGTAGGTATTTGTACCATTTTGGCGCTGAAATCGGATTTGTAGCATTTGGGGCAGCGTTCACTTGCCGCAATAGTTTGGAGCTAAAATCTGCTCCCAACGTATTTGCAGCAATTTGGAGGTAACTCATATCCAATCCTTGGTGCATGAGGCTAAAATTTTGATTGCATGGATTTGTTTGCAGAGATCTCTTGGTTTCATTTGTTTTCAAGATACATGATGACACATGCACTATCATTTTTTTGTAGTTTTGCCCGGTTTTGACTTAGCATGGTATTTTTGCACCATGCTGGACATAACACTCTCCGTTGCCATCATTGCAAAAAACATCAAATCACTACCCGTTGGTGGTCAGCAGTTGGAAGCAGATATTTGCGCAACACCCTCTGGGGAAGTGATATTTGCCTTTTTCCGTTTTTCGCAGCAGCAGAAAAGTGGACAAGCCTTAACCCCGCGAAAGAAAAACGTAGGTTCGCGAAATTCGCAAAAGTAAATGAATAAAGTAATTTCGCAAAGAACGGCTGTTTGCAGATGAAAGAATTTTGATCAACCGCCATATACTACCTATAGCGTAGCTGTATGACAGGTATGTTTTGCATATAGAGATTGACATTCTATGTAAACAGTATGCACACATGTATAAACTATTATCTTTACTCATATGCATCATATGCAGCATCGAAAACCGCCAGACCCCCCAAACCCCGACCACATGGGGGAGGAAGCAGCCATACTACCTAATCCATTGTGCTTGTATTGCGTTCCCTCAAAATATATAGCAAAGACCCCCAGGCTACACATATATTTTAAATATGTGATATTAATTGATATTACATATTTCATGCGAAATACTCAGCCAGCCAGGCAGCCAATCAACCAAGTGGTGCCCAGGTACTTCCACATTGGAATCTCCATGTTCTACGGCAGTGGCCGCACGGTCGGCCAGGTTATCTGGCATGGGCCGCGCAAATCTTGGTTTTCACTGGGTGAGCAACAAAAATTCCAACGCCCAAACAGTTGATTCAAGCAACACCTGAACATAAAACGTCAAAAAACTTTGCTCGCTGGTAATCTCAGGCTGGAGTCTGGAGTCACCAATAAAGAAAGTTGTGTGCAAATCACTATATAAAACATCTGATTGGCTAGAGATTAATTATCCAGTCATGTTTGATTGCAATTCCAAAGTCGCTGAAAGACCTTCAACAATGAAGGGTATGTTTAGTATAATACCCCTTGGTTGCTCCTAGGGGGGGTCCAACCCCTGAAATAGTAGACCACAGTGGCTGTTTTCCAGAGGGGCCTGACCCCCCCATACCCATTTTGAGCATTTCTGAATGGATAAAATCTAGGGGCCCAAGTCTAGCATTCGTAAACCAAACATTTTTGCTAACACTCAACTTGGACGAGGGAACCAATACTTTGGAGCAATTTGGACGTTCCAAAATGGTCAAAGGTCAGGCCCCTCAAAATATTTTGGGCATGCTGTGAATATTTTGGACATACATTTTTATCTGTGAATCTTATGAAACCATGGACCTCCTGGATTTTAGCCATAGTTCTTTTTCCCCCTGCATGCCACAGATAAGCTGGCCACTTTGAAAGGTTCTCAACAGAGATAAAGTTGACAAACATGTCACAACTAACTTCCCAAGAAAACAATTTTTGCACACCTTTAATGCCAGTTGTTTTTAGAGGGATTCATCATTCATCTATCAAGGTTAGCGGATACAGATGTTATTTTCAGGTTTTCCCTCCAAGCTTCAAGAGCAAAGATTGGATTCGGTAGCCTTTTTTGGAATCAATTTTAGTGTTTGTCCTTGATGTGCGGGTTCAAAAAACGGATTTCAGTGAGGAGACTTTGTTCTGGGTGTGATTTTTTTACAAATATGATAAAGGTAAATATTTCAGCACCGTCCCAAGTAAATAAACTTAGTGCAAGTTTTTTGATGCTGATTTGCAGAGGGGTTGATATCTCAAGATTGTGGACACAGGTTTTATTTCCTGCATTTCTGGCCTAGCACCCCACTAAGTCGTATCCGGGAGCTGAAGGTGGACCGGGTGAGACGTTGGTATCCAGGATTTGGTTGCGTGTTTTTTGGATCAAATTCAATATTTGTCCTTGATTTGAAAGCTCAACAAAAAATTGATTTCAAGAGGAGATAATATTGACAGGGTTTCCGTTTCTGTGGTACAAAAGCTGATAAACATGTCCAAGAAATAAAATGTGCACCTTTGGTTGATGCCTGTTTTGCAGAGGGGTTCATCTATCAAGGTTGGGGACATAGATTTTATTTCTTCCAAGCTTGGCCCCGCTAGATCGAAGCAGCTATGCGGGAACAGAAGAAGCACAGGATTTGGCAACCTTTTTGTTTGGGTCAAATTCAATCTCTTGACCTGAAAGTTCAAAAACAATAAGGTTTCAAGGTGAGGAAATGTTTAACGGTGAGTTTGATAAACATGGAAGCAGTGCTCAGCAAAATAAACTTCATGCACCTTTGTTACAGTTTGATGCCAGTTTTGCAAGGGATTTCATCAATCAAGGATGTATTTTTTCTTCCTGTCCAATCAAAGGTGCAGGTTGGACCTAAATTGAAAGGGCTGACATCTGAAAATAAGGTAGGTACCAAACCTCAAGTAGGATGAACATAAAATTCAAAGAGCCCAACCTTCCAAAGATAAAATCAAGGTGCCTGACCTGAAATTGGAATGAGATAAAATCCAAGGGCTGGACCCCCCTGGGGTCCTCTTTGGAAGCGAGTACCCTTGAAGTGACCTATGAGGGGTCTAGCGCCTTGGAATTTATCTCACACTTATGATCGAGATAAAATCTAGCATGTCTGCAGATAAAATCAAGGGACCTATCGTCATTTTTTACTAAAAAGCCAAAAAAATAGCCATGCACCCCAGGGGCTGGAGCTCCTAGATCTCAGCTGGGAGCAAGCATCGGGTATTAGTATACCGGTGTTGTCACCATCAAACCAGTTCAAAACACTACCCATGGCCAAGGTAGTGGTGATGACAACCACAGCAAGGGCTATGCAGCATGCTTGTTTTACTATGTAGCATCTTCTTCCGCCCCGGCACGTGCCGGAATAATAGAACGGAAGAGATAATAGATGTGTAATAACTGTAGCAACTCCTACCGTAGACAATTGAAAAATCAAGGGATCTAAACATCACCAACAGCCAGCAGAACACATGCCAGGAGCCACCTGGCATATTTTCCTCACTTGCAATACCGCCAGACCTCGGGATGCTCTCGGCGAAAGTTGAACGAAAATTAGGACTCTCAAAATGGGCTTATTATTTACAGTCATGTTGTAAAGTTGTAAATTGTAAACACCTAACCATGAAACATCCTTGATTCAATAGGTTTTGCCGTGTAGGGGATTCTAATGAGTAAGCTGTTTGTACAAAACATTGTATTATATGCTTAATTGATGGGTAGATAAAGTCCCAACATTTGTTTTCACGGTAAGCCTGGTGTTGGAAAGAGCGACATAATATCAACCAACAAGACTGGGCCATGTTTTTCCATGTTTATGGCGTTTGTTTATCCGCTCCATAGTGGCTCTCGCAGTTTCTTACCAAGCTGCTTGCAGACCTGCGCAACTGACAAGAACGCTCTGAAGTTATTCAACTTCCAGCACACAAATAACATGCTTTAAATCTTATCTACAATGTCCAAGGCCACACAATTTCAGATCGGAAAATTATAGTACAGTCGTATGGTATACTTAATATATCTTAATATATCTTAATATATCTTAATATATATATAATATAAACAGAACAATATGAATATGATAGTCCACATTAAAAACTCAACATGGATCACTATGTTTTGTCCAAAAGCACAAGGATTTCGCTCGTAGTGAGTCTCCCAACTTCAGAGCAGCGCAGGACAATTCCATCCTCAGGGCCCAGCGGAGGTTTCCACAGTCATGGGGGTCCCCAATAGCTGGATGATTTATTGGAAATCCCATCTATAAATGGATGATTTAGGGGTACCCCTACTTTAGGAAACCTCCAGAAAAAAGGCGCAGGAAGCCTGAATTTGGTTCTCGAAGTTCTATAAACGACAATGGATGTTGAAATTGCCTACATGCTTCCAAGAACTGGTTCAGGGAAAACGTTGCAGGAAAACCTTTTTTGGCGGAGTAAACCAGCCAGCCACTGGTTTTATGTTCACAAAACCAATGCATTGAATACTTACTTTGATACCAACCTGTCTGTAATTTTCTGAAAAGTGTCTTATTTTGATAACCCACCAACAAATTCAGAGCACTTGAGACCAACTTGGATGCCCAGAAACCTGGGTGGTGAATACCAAAAGAAAGTCGCACAAGATTTCTATGATCGAAGACTGACCGCCAAAATCTATGAACATGATTAAAATGATTAATTAAACAAAATGGCAAAATCATCCAAAATCCGTGGATTCAAAAAAAGAATGACCCAGGACCCAGACCCACTGCCTACCCAGAAGAAAAATCGCAAAGGCCCGAACAACTCCGTGGCGTATTTCGCTGTGTTGATGCCGCAGTTCGGTAATTCCTGCGCCTGTCGG